AGTGAGCTGTCAAGCTGGTTTTAAGACAGAAACCTAAGGGTTTAATCAGTGTGCAATATCAGGAAAGTAATTGGATCAAGTTACAAGAAATGTTCGTCTGGTGTTCACAGCTCAACCCGAAACGTAAAGTATGCACTCAAATATGAGGTGGCTGAGTTAATTTGTTCTTAATTTAGAGGTTAACATTTCTTATATGGTTTATATTCATAGAACTCACCCTGCTGTTTTGGTGTGATAACATGCCAGTTTGTAAGTACCCTCAAAATGTAAAACTCTTTAAAATGTATATTGCATCTGTCTTTCATCTCTGACAGTCAAACCAAGCACAAAATCATTCCAGATTCACCCCATGTGTGTCACTGAAGTCCTTCACCAGGTGTCATTACCAACCTAAAAAGAAAAACTTTTCTGTTTCCCTTTGCCTTACTCATGGCCATACAGAGAAAAGGCACAAGCAGAAACCTTTAGTGGTCACAAGTGCTGCTTTGGCATTTTCAGTGGTTTTCAATAACCACTGATTAGAGCTTCCCTTCTGCTGAGGTCAGACACCTATTTCTTCACACTGCACCCAGTTCTGGTGTCTGCTATAGTCCTCAGAGCTAGGGTGAGTTAGCTTTGTGCAGTGAGCTCAGGAGTGAGTACGATGAGCTATAGAAGTATTCCTACGTTTCAGTATGCTTTTACAGATTTGTTCTTCCTCTTCTTTCCAGGTGTTAGGAATTTTTAATTTTTATTTTTTTTTTTTTTTTTTGTAATTTCATAGCTTCTGTGTGTTTCTGTCTTCTTTCAAACCATATAGTTCTGGATTCTGTTTTAACGCAGATTATCGGTATCGCTGGACCTTTGAATCAGGTATGACAAATTCTGTATGATGTAAAAGCTAACTGCCCTGTGGTAGGGAATAAGATTATATTTGTTACTCCAGGCTTTGCATCTCTTCACCAATTTTTTTTCATTGTTCCCCAAGCAGCTGCTCTTGATACCTATCCCTGTAGGAATATAATTACTCTTTTTCACTTTCTTTTGGTCTTTGCAGTGCCTAAGATGGATTTCAGAGGCTAAACTGTGAACTTTCAGTATCAGTTATACTTCTACTACTGAAATACAGCTGCCTGTTCATGGCCATAGCTTTTTTTACTGCTAATAGGAAAAGAATCTCTTGTAGTTGTTAATTAACTCTGCTTTAACTTTATCATTATTTCAACGGGATAGCCTCAGGATGAATTTAACCCCCTGCTCTTCTAGAAGCAGTTTAAATGACTTAGCCTTGTTCAAGTGTGTAGGATGAATTGTTGGCTTGGATTTGTTAAAGGATAGACTGGTTGGTGGAGGGTGCTGCCCTGGTGCCACTGCAATCCAATAGGATTGTGGTATTGCTAGTCCATGGGGTCAGACCCTGATTATCGCAGTAATGGGGAGCAATTACTAGGCTTGCAGTAAGTTGTAGCAGTCATGTGAGAGTCTTGATTGCCCAGAGCGAGAATGAATTGCATTTTTTGACCCATTAGTGATCTTCAATTTTATGCAAAGTATTGCTGTTTAATTTACTTATTGAGGTTAATATTGAAAAGCTTTGCTTACTTTGAATACTCTTCCTCTTAACATTTGTAATTAACAATGGTTCAGTAGGGAGAAATGAGAGATCAATAAAGCCTCTCTTATCTTTTAATAACTACCTTGTCTCTTCTTTAAAAGGGCTGCTGTGCTGGGTTCATTCTAAAGATGGATTGGGGGGGGTGGGGGGTTGGGTTTGGGGTTTTTTTTTGCTTGTTTGGTTTTGGGGATTTTTCGTGTTTAGTTTTGTGTTTGTTTTTGTTTTGGGTTTTGGGGAGGGTTGTTTGTTTTATTTTGGTGGGTTTTCTTGTTTTTTTGGGGGGGCTTGGCTACTTTCCATCACTTGTATGTCAGATTTGATCACTAATTCCTACTGATGCCACAGGTTAATGGAAAACTGTTATGTGTGTAATCGTACCTCATTGAGCAAAGGAGTCAAATAGGTTTATAGACATGAATCTCTATTGATTGCTAGGAGTATTTAAAATAATTGGACTTGAGCAATCAGATTATACAGTTATATTTATGAAATGGGACTATATGGGGTAACTTACATATTGGACATAGATTGCATCTGATACAAGTTCTTTTTTGTCTTAATACGCTGAATTTTTACTCATTTCCTTATTAAAACTGAGACTAATTAGAAGATATTTTAGGTACCAGTATATAAAATTGACCTGGAATTGAAACAATAACATGCATCTCCTAGTGAATGCATGGAGAAATGTGCCTTCTTTCAGTTACGAAGAGGGAATAAACTGGGCATTGCAAGCTGGACATTACTGGCGTCAAACTGTTTCCCCAAAAGAATGTGGGTATCTCTCTAAGATAAAATGAGAAGCATGCATCACAAAGTATGAGCCATTTTCCCCTCCTCATAACTACTTGCTAGAGGGGTAAGAAAAATAAAAACTGAAAAAATTAGATTTATGAACCATCAAGTTCCATCTAAGTCAGAGGAACCCAGTGCAGAAATAGCTTTACCACTTGGAGAGAGGGAATCTACAGTAATACAAACCACAAGTATCCTTCAGAAACCTACATCCCCACAGGGATCCCCATGTATTTCTATAGTCATTTAGAAATGAAGCAAGTATGGTCAGGAGCTAGGACCCCAGAGGCCCAAAGCTTTGGGGTACTCCTAGCAGGAAGATGCTTTTAAACTGTAGGAAGGAAACTCAAGAACATGACATCAACTGCTGGCATCAAAGACCAAAAACACAGGGAACCCAAAATCCATTATTTCTGAAACTATGTAATTTTTGCCTTGTTTTCCTGATTCTACAAGGACCAACTTGCTGTTTCAAGCGTGAGCCATTCATAAATACAAATTCCAGTTTAAAATGTCCTGTTGATGCTGGGAGATATTCAGGGTTACAGTTCTGGGGAAGCAAGTGAAACCCTCTTGCTCTGCATTAATAATACACAAATTCATATTGCTAAGACTTTCAAGCAAGCAACCAAGTTGTTTAGCAATAAATAACTTTTATTTTAAACTGTTTGTAAGGATCCCATGTTTATTCTTCTTTGCAGTTTACACTTTGAGAAGCATTTATATTTGTGCACTTCTAATAAGCTGCAGTTGTTACCAAGCAGTACAAAGTGAATGAATGTGCCATAGCCAAGACATCATAAAATGCAAAATCTACTCAGTTAAAGCAAGTGGAAAATAACACTTTTAAGCATTTTGGTAAAGGCTTTGAGCCAAATTGGCATTAAATTTTTTTTTTTTTCTTCTCAATTTATGTCTTGAAGAATGTTGCTACTGGGACAGACCATAAGTCTACCTGGCCCAAAATCCCAATTTCTAAGGTGGCAGGAAAAGAGGCTTGCATACAGAGGTGTGTTTCCAGGTAGTGCACTAACAGTTAAGACCAAAAGCCAGAAGCTTTTCTGAGAGCTCCTGATTTAATAGCTATAATTTGATGGTAGTCAGTGTCATCTAGCAAAAGCTGGGTAGTTTTGAGTATTTCAAAGAGCTTTTGTCATTACTTTTACTGAAGATTTAAAAAAAAAAAAAAAAAGTAGAAGAACTTCACAAATCTGATTGTGAGCCAGACTCCAATACTGCTACCAGAAGAAAGACAGCTTGAAGAAAAGTGGGCTTTTGGATCAGGAAAGGGGAAGAATAAGCTTCCTGCTTTATTTCTAAATTGGTACTACCATAATCAGCCTTACTGTTATAATTTCAAGGTGAATAATTCACTTTACCCCTGCCATCCAAGCACTTATTTCTTTTATTTTATTTTTTTTTGTTGTAATCCAAGCCCACATAGTTTAATGTGTCTTCTTTTCACAAATGCATGGTTTATCAAAGGAAACTGGCAATTGCAGGCTACAAGTACTGGAGTGAGATGTTCTGCTTCAACAAACAGTACTGAAAAGGTTAAGGCTGTCGACATTTTCATGTCATTAATTAGGTTTTAAAAACTTTGTAGTGCATTATGCTGGATAGGAATTAGAAAATCCCTATGTCTCTTAGCATGGTTATTTCAGCTCTGCCGTGGACTCAGAAAGTTAGCAATTTATGCTGAGTTATCTTCACAAGGCAGAAAAACTTTCCTTAAGTGAAAGTTTGGATGCTGCAACAACTGGGATATCCATGGGGAAATCTCAGCAAAATTCAGGCTTCCCACATGCAGAGCCCTTGATTACCACCAGCTCTATGCTGACCCTTAGAAACAATTGTAAAAGCTACAATGGGATAACAAAAAATCATGCATTTTTTCCATCTCCTCTCTCCCATTTGCAGCTTGTAAAATGTTCTACCAACATCTGAAAATTATCTTGTTCATATAGTTAAGTGCTGTTTTATGGATGGGTAAATAAAGGAGAGGGATGGAGGGATGCTTCCCATCTTCTTGCAGATCTGTTTTATCCTTTTTCATCCCTGCTGTCCATGTGCTGCTGTGAAGAGCTGAAGCATTGTTTGATAGCTTCTCAGTGAAAGCAGCTTTCCTTGCACAATATCTCGTTTTTGTCTGAGAAGCAATTGAGGTCACACTTGCACTGGCAATTAGAAATTGATCTTCAAATAATCCACAAGCAGGGACTTGCCAACCTTCATTAACATGGCCTTTCCCAGCACTGCTGAGGTCCTGGGTTTCAGGGTGACCTGTTCATCCCCATGATCTGCTACCATTCACTTTTATTGTCTTTGGAGCTAATGAGGGAGAGAGGCTTGAGGGTTACAGGACTCAAGTCCACTGAGTCAGCTGGCAGGCATCTTGCAATGCCCTTTTCTCCCTGCATTGCCTGTGTGCAAGGGTAAAGCTGGGGGAAGATGTGCTATGCACAAACTAGTTCCTTGACGACCCCCACAAAAGAGCCTGGGATGTGACCCAGTACTGTGTTGAAGGGGAGCATGGAAAGCCAAAACTGTATAGTGCAACTAGCTTTGAGGATAGTCATAGCAAAGGCTGAAGTAGTATAGGCTTCTTTGTGGGCATGCTGCAGCTGAAGAGAACTTCAGTGTGAGGCAAGGTAAGATGAAGCTTTGCTGTGATGCTATGGTTGTTTCTGTACTCACAAAGATGTTTCTGGCAAATACTTGTGGCTTGGGTTGAAAATTCAGTGGATATTTTTTGATTAAACAAGACCTTTTACTCCTTTCACAGAATGGCTCAGCAGGGAAGGACATGGCTGAGTTGTTATTGAACTGAAAGAGGGCTGTGAGACACTTTTTTGCACTTTATAGTAAGAGATTAGTGACTTATAAGGTATATTAGATTATGCAGCAGACATTGGCTTTACTACTTCAGAGCTGGTAAAAAATATGCCTTCTCCAGAAGCTAGTTTTCTTAGGAAAGGCTACTTTTCCAAAGGACAATCTCGACAGAAGGTACAATCTCACAGATTTGAGGGAATTTTAAGGGAAAGAATATAAACAGCAGGGGGAAAGGGAGATCTTATGATTTTTAGAGGGGAGGACAGGACACACCTCTCATTTTTTCCTCTGAAATAATGAGGGCTTAAAAAAGAAAAATTGAAATTTATTCTGAAGGTTATCCCATCAAGAGGCCTCGGTTCCTCTGAAACACTCACAAAGCTTTCTCATGTCTGTGCATTATGCTTCATCCCTACTGCTGGTGCTCAAAGCACCCGTTGTAGGGCAGGACCTCTGTCTGCTGAGTGCTATTCAAAGGCAGAATAAAAGGATAGCCTCTGCTGCAGCAAGTTTAAATCCCACACTCTTAGTCTTAATCTTACTTGGTACTTTGAGTCCTGCGGCAGATTTCGTGACATGGGAGCTGTTGTGTTGCTGCTATTGAGAGGTTTCTGCAGCAAGTGGGCTTTCATTCACAATGTTGTATTAATTGCTATTATGTTTTGCTTTCTGGTTGCAGCATGTCAGTAATCTGCTACTTACAAATGCCTACTTCCTAGGGAGAAAATAAAACACGTGTATTTTTTGGAACCTATGCTGAGTCAATACTTAGGAAATGCAGTTGGTAATAATATTGGCTCTAATCCTCCTGAGAGAAATTAATTACAAACATGTAACAAGGTAATCAGGAAGCTACTCTTACTGTGTCATTGAGCAAAGAACACCAAAGCAAGTGGAAAGTTTGGATTGAATTAAACCCAAAGCACATAGTGTTTCCAAAGGCCAGATGGTGCTCTGTGTGTGTGTATATATATATATATATATATATAGTATATATGTTATGATTGGGAGACCTCAGGGTAGGGAGAGAGGGAAGACAAGCTGGCTAGAGTAAAGTAAGGAATTATAGCATGATGTTGTTATAACACGGCTGCTGATGTGCTGGTCCAAAGACACAGACCGCTTCTAATAAGGTTGTGGATGCTGCTCTTGAGTTAGGATGTACACATGTGCCTAAATGCCTGTACTTGCTTGTGAGGAAAAATTGCCCTGGGTAATGAGAAAGCACAAAACACCCCAAGGGTTAAAACAACACTATGATCAACAGTGATGTGTTATTGCATTGCCCCTGTTACACAACTACCTTCTTGCTTCTTTCTATTCATTTCTAGTACCTCACAGATCCCCATCCACTCCTACCATCTTCCCTTTGCATCTGTCCTCTCCTCAAGCCTTCCTTCTCATGTAGCTGAAGAGCTGAGTTTGGTTTTGCCTTCTCTTTTGCCTGCCTTGCTCAACATTTCCCAGCACTGTAATACCAATTTGCTCACCAATAAACCGCAAATGAATGTGGTTTTGTTGGAGCAATTACACATGTGGGCAAAGAAAACAAGTCTTCTCTGCTTTTATCCCTGTTGCATTATTATGTTTGGGGTTTCTATTAGCAGCAGGACCTGTTCAAATGTCTGGAACATTAGAAGTATGTCCATGTATACTGGAATAATGGGCTAAGCATAAGCAAGGTGGTTAAAAGTACAGGAGAAATGCAGCTTATCCATGACACATATTTAGCCCCAGCCTCCCAAGCACAAGGTGTGGATCTCTCTGCTAAAAAGCACTGCTGTTCAAGTTATGCAGGAACATATTATAGCCTGAGAAAGTGAGAGATACAAGAGCCACTTGAAAGTGTAGGGGGGAAATAGGAGCCTCAGATCTGCTAGGTATCTTTTCCCACCCTGGAAAAAGTCTAGTCTGCAGTGAGACAAGGCTGGGGGACAGTAGCTTGAGCCATCTGGCTCAGCCCATGCATAGCTGTATTACTGGTGCTCTCCAAACCTCTTGCAAATGGCTGTAACGTTCACTTTCAGGTAGTTACTGCAAGTGATCCAAGTTTGGTTGTTTGTTTTTTGGTTTGTTCTTTTTGCAACGTTTAAGCCTTTTCTTAAAGCTTCCAACTCTGTTTTTATTAGGAACCAGGCAGTTTTAATAGTTGATGTCCAGCTATCCTTACCCTCAGTCTTTACACAACTCTCCTTTTTCCTCTTTCTTTTCTATTTCACTTCTGTGTAATTACATCTATTATTTTAAGATTTTTATTTTTTTTTTAGATCTGAAGTATCTAGGAGAAAGAGAAGCAGTTCAAAGAGAAGCAAAGAATATTAAAGTCAAGATACTGCTGTTGTCTTTCAAGCAGTGACAACATTGCCATTTTTTCCTTCATTTTTAAAAGATTAAAGCTGAAAGCAGAGACGATGCAAAGACTTAGGTGTGTTTAGCTTTCCTAAGTAGTCACATCAATGCAATTTGGATCATTTGCATTCAGCGTGTTTCTGTTGCTTTTAAGTAGATCATTGTCCTTTGGAAAAATCTTTGTGTCTTGCATAGCTCATTCTTCAACCTATCTCTATAGCAGGTCTCATTTTTCCTTTGAAATACATTGTGGAATAAAAATTCAAGGCTGAAATCCTTCAAGAAATGTAATTTGCTATGGCTGAATGGCTGGCTTCTAATAAGATGACTTCTTTCATGTCTTAGGTCAGTAACTTGGTAACACCTTCCATCCCTGATCTCCAGAAAGTATCTAATGAACATGCTCCTCAGAGGCTGGAAAATACCCAAGGTCTGTGTTCAAGGTGCCAGAGTAAAAAATGTGACACTGGTTTTGCAAGATGCAAGCCTCTATCTTTTAATTGGGTAGAGTCCACAGATCTCCAGGCCTCCCTGAAGGTCTGACATTGTCTGTTTCTTTCTATTTAAAAAGGCCTGGATGCGAAGAAATCCCCTACTGAATTGCATCCTCTTTCTTTGCCTTGTCTCCAAGTATTAACAAAGGGCTGAAGTCCCCCAGGTAGCCTGGTTTGGGTCTGATCTGCTGGGCTGACAGGCATCTGGCATGTAGGGGGGGAGGCAATGATGTTGGAACAGGGAACCAGAATGTTCCACGATGCTGGAGGTCCTGGGATGTTAGTAGGTTCATTATTATTAGTTTTGTATCCCCATGAGCCTGCTTCCCATGAATATTTGATAAAGCTCGAGAAGGTCACTACAGCTTGATTACTCTCCATATGGCATTTCTGCATGTCCCTGCTCTCTCTGCATGTGATTTTTATCCTCTAGCCCATGGCACTCTGCCAGATCCCTCTTTTTCCCTGCCTGAATAATTCATGGGAGGGAGGAAGATGAAGGGGAAAAAAAGAAATAAAAATGAAGAGGAGGTTTTATTATTCATAGGCAAAAACTATAGGCACTCTAAACAAACCTGAGGGTGAAGCTTTCCCATGCTTTGTGCTTGTGTGTGTGTGCATCATTATGGAAACCAGTTACATAGGAATGGGTTTCTGAACACCCTAGGTGTCCTGCTTACACTTCAGTGGGTTTTGCCAGTTCTGGCACATGAATTAGGCTGGCAAGCCCTTCAAGGAGAAGTAAGCTTATTCAGCAGAGTTACTAGCCAGTACAGAGTGGTAGCCTGGATGGAGCATGTTAACCTTGCAAAGGAATTTTGCAGGGGAATTCATCTCTATGTTTGCTTTTGGCTGGAAAAACCTGGCTCTGCTCACCTTTGTTATGCCTCTGCCCCATAGAAACCAAGCTTGAAATAGCTCTAATAAAACATACATCCCTTTATCCACATTAAGTAATCTCCATTATTGGTTAAAAAAAGTATTTTGGTATTCCTTAAATAAAATAGGGAAACTGAGGCAGAAAGTGATAATTCAGACCAGACAAATGAGTCATTCTTCTATAATTAAAAATCCAGCCTTTTGGTGCAGTTGAAGAATACAACACAAATTTGATGTAGATAATCTCAGTATTTTCTTGTGCTGTTGTCAAAGATTAACATCTTGAAAACTCCTGGAATACAAAGTCCTTCTGACATCTATCGTGGATGCCCTGGCTCCTTGTTCTCTGCTTCCTTCTGTTTATCTGTACAGTTCAAAAAAATCTTTTCTGTCATCTTGGGAGATGTGGTCCAGAGTTGACCAAATGGCTGAAGCCTTTGTAGGCTGCCAGGTAAATTTGTCTGTGCTAAAAATTAGTAGGAACAGGTTTATGTACTTTAGATAATGGGAGAGCAGCTGAGAACTTCCATGGATGCTGTTCTTCTCTCACATCCTTTTCCCCTTTAAAGCAGCTGTAACCCCATCTGCATCTCTTAATCTTTTGACACAGGCTCTCTGGAGAAATATGTTGTGTGGGTACAGTACTTGGCACACTGCAGTGGACTTGCATGAGACATCACTGCAACACCAATACCCACTACTGCCATGAGTATAGAGATGAAAGAAACCATTTTGTGATTACCACTGATTTTTCTTTCCCCATCATCAGGTGCATAAGGCAGAAAACACTTGGTACAGACTTGAAAACCTGTGATGGTTTTAATAAATTTAAACATGCTCAGTAGATTTTCCCTAAGGGAATTACAAGGAATAAAGATAATTAATGTGAGAACTTAGCTGGACAAAACAGATGGTGCAGCAAAAGGCTCAAAATGTTTCATGTGTTTCAAAACTGCTCTTATTTGTTGCTAATGATGAAACTGTGATCTCCTTGTGTGTTAACTCCCCACTGATTCTTTTTTGCCCTTCCCTCCTCCTTTCTCCTTCTTACTAGGAAAAGTGCTATCCCCAGAGCATGCTAGCTACTGTAAGAC